ATATTATTCAGAATATCGTGTATATAATAGCGCAATAAAATAGGAAATTTATTATATTATTGCAATTTTTAAATCAGCACAGAAGTAGCGATTGGAAACCGCGTTTAGTATTAAAATGAATACATAATACTTCTCCAAGTGGTAAAATTTTATTGGTAATTAAAAATTATATATATCTCGTTATTCGGAGAGATACGAGTATAATGGGAAATTTTGAAAGTTCCTTTTATCATTATTATGACAGTTTCGACTGAATATACCAGTAAAGAAAACATTACGTTTAAACTCACTCCGAAGTACTTTTCGCTCGTATTTGATATTTCCGCTGTTAACCAGCTATGTATAATTGATTATTGCTTCTGGAAAGTTTCGTTCCCTGTAATTCATTTCGTTTCTTCGTTCAATGCGACGTTCGGAGCGACATTCTCGCGTGAATATTATCTAACGGTGGGCTGATTGCGCGGAGAAGCGCGAAGGGAACTGGAGGAGAACGGATTAACGTTGAGTAACGCCGTGGAGAATTCGCGATACGAAAAGTCGCGGATAAAGTTCTCCAGTCACCACTCGAGGGGATAACTGGCGACGTTCGGAAGCGCCGCTGAAGTGTCGCTGGTAAGAGAAAACGGGACGGATTATGCGGGTCGGCGGCTGCCGCGCCGAGATTCAATATTTGCCGCATCAGCCGCGAGCGCGTCTCCTCGTGTAATCACGGCCTAATCAAGAGCGACGAAATTCGATTATATACTCACCGAGTTTCTGGCAATAGAGCGTAACTAGCGTATGATAGCGAGGCGAGGCGAGGCGAGGCCCGGCGCCGGCGGAAACGAGCCGGGCCGCGCGCGGCTGCAGCAGTTGGCCTTTCGGGATCGCAACAGCGACAGCCAATTATATCCGTGCTCTCGATCACCTCAGCGCTGAGATGAATAAACTGCGCCCGCACGAATGCGTGATAATTCGCTAGCGCTAGTTACTTTTCGAACGCCTCGGTTCGTTTAAAGCCCGTTCGAACGAGTTTGAACAAATTTCGGACGGCGCGGGCGCGGCGATGGGAAACAACCAGGTTCATCCTGCGTACGCATGGCTGAGCAAGGTAATTGCAAATTACGTTTTTAATTCCGACAAATTCTACCTCGTCTATCTCGTGCAAAGGATATTCACGTTGCCCAAATTATCGTGATTAATTTGTTTCTACATGGACATTCGTGAACGTGATGTGGTTGAAACAAGCGAGTTCTTAAACTTGCGAAAATTAGATGATATCGCCTTGAGAAAATTATATCCTTGTCGTCGATTCAACGCGAAAGTTGCTGAACCGATAAACAATTCTCGTAACTCTCCGGGGTGTCCGCGACGATGATACTTTGCTTCAAGAAGTTTATTGCCAGCTTACTCACAGTTCAAAACACTTAACTCGGTTTATCCGAGATAAGTATAAATATTTGCGCCATTAATCGATCGATTTTCTCTCTCTCTCTCTGCACTCTCTTTATCTTTATTTATTTTTCAAGTTAATACATTTGGTAGCACTCGGTTAATGAGTAATACAATAGAATATCAAAGATAAAAGCTTAATATAAACTTCCTAGCTGTTGAACTATTTCATGGCGTAAAATTTTACACATTTTTTTTTTATTAGTTAAGCTGTAATAAAATAGTCGTATTTTTTTTCCTAAACTTTACTAACATTTTTTGAAATGAAACAATTACTTGTACCGCTGTTCTACTCAACAACTCATTTATTATCTCGGTATTGCGATGCATTCAGCGAAGTTTAATCGAATAAAACGAACCAGCTTTTGGCAGAAGAAATGCATTACGCGATGCACGTGCCATTTTCCTTTGTTCATTGCGTGTTATTATCGCGACGTTACAATGAAAACATCTTTGCGGTACAAATGATGACGAAGAGATTTTCTTATTTTCTGTTTCTGAGAGAGAAAGAAAGAGAGAGAGAGAGAGAGGCGCAAAGAAAAACAGAAATCATTGATCAGTGAGAATAGGTTATTTCTGTGATAATAAATGTCAAATAGTAACGACGTTACATTTCGCAATTTTCTTTTCGCAATTTGTAATGTAATTTGCACATCTGAGACTATAATTACGTAATTCTTTTTATATCAGTCAAAAAAACAACTGTGCTCATTTCATTAAAATCTTCCGGCCTTTTTCATTAACTATACTTGCGTATATTTGCGCATTCCCGCACTCTTGCTCTTTAATGAGAAACCATTACGCATTGCAAGCCGCTTTCTAACGAGCATAATTAATAGTTTAGCATAATATGGTAACTACTCATGCAAGCAATGATAATATTACTATTATTATTATTATTATTATTATTAATATCAATTATATTCTATTATGTATAAAAGAAAAGTTTCTTTTGTTACATACAAACAAATGTTATACTTACATATTCATTTTTATTGCAGTGTTCGCTATTATTTTATTTTAATTATTTTCACCTCTAATTATAATTTTTTCGCAAAAAAATTCGCTTTAAATTTGCTAAGAAAAATTACATTTCACTTCAATAAAATATAGATAAATAATAAAGATCAGACAATAAAATACATGACACAAAATCAAATATGCCGTGCAACAAAATAATCGACTGTGCATACCGATTTTCATTCATCACGAAGGATGATTTTTTTTAATTTTCAACTTTCTCTCCGTTTTTTAACTTTCTGTCGCAGAGCAACGTTGTTTCTTGAATGATAACGCGCTGCAACTACAGTCGGTCTCGTACAAGGAGACTCGTTTTTTCGTTCTCTTCTCAATTTTCAGCATGCAAGAACAATCGACACATTTGGAAACAAAGAATACGTACAGTGCTTTAAGATACGTCGCGAACGAATGTCTTCTCTCGTTCAGCATCGAAATTGCCACATTTACACAGTTTCTTTCGATTTCTCGTGTTTCAGAAGTACACTGCCACAACATGCCATACGGCGGCAGCGGCAAGAACAGCGACACATACAACCAGAACGCTCTGGAGGAGGCCACACGATCGGGACCGTATTTCGACAAATCGGCCTCGAAGAACGTGACCGCCCTGCTCGGAAAGACCACGTACCTCAACTGCCGTGTCAAAAATTTGGGGAACAAAACGGTGAGTGAAATAAATACATGTTTCCCCCTTCCCCCCCCCTCCTCCCCTCCCGAAAAAAAGAATCCGTATTATTCGCCTGGTATCTTTTGCACTTATTCATATCCAAAAAGAATTACGATACAATTTCCCCTTAGATTATTTATAAATTAATGCGATAATAATGTCGTATTATAATAGCACGATATTGTATTCATAAAATATTAACCCGTTAAGAGAAAAAAAGTGTTGGGGAACGTGATGAAATAGGATCAAAAAAGCAATCTTATTATGTAAAACTTTTTAATATTTTATAATTTAAAAATCGCAACGTCATTGCGCTCCAACTATCCCCTTTTCCAAGAAAAAAGAAAAGTTGACATTTTTTCACCGGAAAACAAAGTATTGGGAAAATCTGAAAAAGGATAACAAAAACACTAATATTAAGTAGTTACGGAGACAAGTCCAGCTCGCTTACGTCGCCTAAGTCAAAAGTAATGAATCCAGTCGATTCGGACATTACGAATCAGAAAATTAAATCTGTCAAGTTACGAACGTATACAGTTAAATTCAGCGATGCGGGATGTCTTCTTTCCTTTTCTTTCGGAGGATAAAGTCTCACTAATGGCAAGATACTAAAAGTAACACGTCCGCGAGAGTGGGTTAGAGACGACGGAAAAAAAAATGGACGACACCTATGTAAACATCGATTCTAACGTTTTCTCTAGCCTAGCCTGTGAGTGAATAAGGCGAAATATCGAGTGTCAATATTTTATCGACACAATGGAGCGTCACCTGTCCCGGGCAAACTGCGGGAGTTACCGGAAGTGCACTCATGCACCAGCGCGACACCATGGTCTCTCGACAATACCATTGAACGAAGTATGCAGGTGCCTTTGGTACACACACACACACATATGTATATATAATGTTTGGCAGTTGTGCAATTAGGGCAGCTAACGGAGCTTTGCGCAAGGCAAATAAAATTATAGAACGTGGCATTATGAGTGGCGTCGATAAAATTTGGATTGATCTCGCGTCTCAGCCAGCTTTTTCCACGTGGGCGAGCAGAAATTCGTAAAAGCAAAATCACGTAATGCTCGTGTACTCAAAAATTAATGGAGTGAATCTCGTTTGTTTTATTATGTCATTGCGTTTCAATCACGTTTTCGTATTGTAGAACTTTCCCTTTAAACACATTCGTCACATGAGGTATAGTCTCGTTAAGCACTAATGGGAGGTATTTTGTGCCATTCGGTATATGCATTAAGCGGACGTCACATATACGTGTTGGGGACGGTATGATGGCAGATGAATTCATCGCTAAGGATTAGATATAACTCGGGGATAAGCGAGGGAAAGATTGGTCTGGCCATAACTCACGTAGTCGTCTCTTTTTGCTCGTGCCTCATGGGAGAGATTAGATCGCTGGGATTATATATATATATATATATTCATGGTTTCCTACCGATTCATAGTTACCGGAGACATATGAAAGTGCGGTGTTAACGTTGTCGGCTCGTATAATTTACTCGCATAAACGTATGTCAATTTGTTATTTTATCGTCCAGATATTAAAGATTAATAATCGGTACTTCTCTTGAAATTCTTTGGAGTGGAAATCTTATTCTAAAGAATAAATATTGAATTAGTCTTGAAAAAGAATAGCTCAATTTTCAATCTTTAAGAGTGACACTTTATTCTTCAGAGATTCACTCTAAAAGTTTTATAGATTAATGTATTAAATCACTTTTTATAATCTGTCTAAGATTGAAAAAAGTTACATTATTTAATTTCTACAAACGTAGATATTAGAATGTATGAATGAGTTAGAAGCAAGATTCTACTGTTGTTCTCTAGTAAAGATTGAAAGTAGATCGGTAGAAATTACTTAATAGACTTTTGATTTAATTTTAAAGATAATTAATCTTTGAGATCCATTAAAACTAATTTGTGGGATGTTGTAAACGTTCAAGCGCATTTTCTGTATTTTACAAAAAGATAACGCGAAAGACGCTTAAGAAACGTTGAGACATAATACTTTGTAACAATTGAATTGGTAATGTACGTCAGTTTATACAGCGATGCAGCTGCTTAGTCGGCAGCAAGTAAGGGAGGGGAACGTACTCGGTATCGGAATCGACCGACTTTCGAATGCGACGTCCGGATTTATCGTTCTTGTGTGAAACCGAAGATCATACAGCGCCTGAGCTAGATTTATTGGATGAAGTGTACGTCCGTCTCAACGAAGGGGAGGAATGCGCCGAGGTGCGGGGTCCTGATACGGACGTGTTCCACGGCCCGTGCTTTACTTAATCTATGAATTGCCAAGTACCGCAGAGTTCGACGTTCAAAAAGAGGCGCCGATTCATTCATATGTATGCCGCGTAACCCAGTTCGAAATCAATTCTGCTCGAGAGGTGTGCGCGGCGTTTGCATCGAAACTTGAACGCGGCGTTGCTAGATATCGGCTGGCACTCGCGAGTGCGTTAACTATTTCTCACGAACGCGTTCTCTCGCGAAAGCCCTCGAAAAAAATTTCAGCATCTAGTATCGACGTTGATTAATCTGAAAATCTCAAGATGTACAAACAGCCTTCATTTTCTTCTCACAGTGTATATACTTTGAACTAAATTTTGTCCTTTCAGTTAAATTTTAGATTGACTTTTAAGGGTTTTTTTTTCAGGTTAAATTTTAGATAAAAAAAATTTTTACCGATATATATATATGTATATATCAAAGTAAATCGTTTTTCTTTCATTTCTATTTCACACTCATTTATCGCGAAATCACATGTGTGCCGTATACTTGTTCTCGGAAAATCTCATTTCTATGCCAAACTTATTTCGGCATCGGCAATATCGATATCATTCATATTTACTTTACCGATTAACTTAACCCGTTATGAGAGTCGCAGATGGATATTTGATTTCTAAATCGTGTTTACTATCATCGTTCGTTGAAGCTATCATCAATTTGGCCTGATGGTGTATTGCAAATCTGGAGTCAAATGAAAACCGCATAGTAAGCTATACTTGGCTAAATCTTCATTAAATTAAGTGCTCTTAAATATTTATTGGAGAAATCACGCTCGTAAGTACAAAT